ACCCAAGCCATTATGCTCAATTAATATTTGACAAAGGAGGCAAACAATGGAGTCAAAACAGTCTCTTCAATAAATGGTGTTGGGAAAATTGGACAGATACACGCAAAAAAAAAGGAAATTAGACCACCAATTTACACCATACACAAAAATAAACTCAAAATGGATAAAGGACTTAAACGAAAGATGGGGAACCATAAAAATCTTAGAAGAAGCCATAGGCAGCAAAATATCAGACATATGTTGTAGCAATATCTTTACCGATACAGCTCCTAGGGCAAGTGAAACTAAGGAGAAAATAAACAAATGGGACTACATCAAAATAAAAAGCTTCTGCACAGCAAAAGAAACCATCAACAAAACAACAAGAAAGCCCACTGAGAACATCTTTGCCAATGTTATCTTCGATAAGGGTTTAGTCTCCAAAATTTGCCAGGAACTCATACAACTTAACAAAAGGAAGATAAACAATCCAATCAAAAAGTGGGCAAAGGACTTAAATAGACACTTTTCTAAAGAGGACCTACAGAAGGCCAAGAGACATATGAAAACATGTCAAAGTCACTAATTATCCGAGAGATGCAAATCAAAACGACAATTAGGTGCCATCTCACACCCGTCAGAATAGCTGTCATCAACAAATCAACAAACAACAAATGCTGGTGAGGATGCGGAGAAAAAGAAACCCTTTTGCACTGCTGGTGGGAATGCAGACTGGTGCAACCACTGTGGAAAACAGTATGGAGTTTCCTCAAAAAATTAAAAATGGAGTTCCCATTTGATCCTGTAATCCCACTTCTAGGAATATATCCCAAGAAAACAGAAAGACCAATCAGAAAGGATATATGCACCCCTATGTTCATAGCAGCACAATTTACCATAGCTAAGATTTGGAAACAGCCTAAGTGCCCATCAGCAGATGACATTATGCTAAGCGAAATAAGCCAGTTGGAGAAAGATAAGTATCACATGATTTCACTCATTTGTGGAATATAATGAACAATATAAACTGATGAACCAAAATAGAGCCAGAGGAAAAAAATATTTTAGAATGGAAGTAATCCTGTTATTTGCAGATTTTTAATATTTTCTATAACTTTTGTGATATTATACTATGTTAGTACAGTTTTGGTAATATATTTAAAATCTTTTTTTCTTGACATGTTAATTTTTATTGCATCAATATTATATTTAAAATTGTTTTTCTTGAAATATTAAGGCTTATTGCATGTAACA